ATGAGTGCGTGTGTGTGCATGACGCTTTCTCATCGCACTTCTTGCTAGTTCATACGTTTTTGTGTAGACTGGCATGTAAATTTATGTCATGATTTTTCACTGTAGAAAGTTGTTCGATTTAGTAGACTATGAGGAAGCATACTGGTTTAGATGATACATTCATGTCCTCAAGTCAAACATAAACAAGCATAACATTCACATGTTCTTGCTTCGTATTTCAACGGGTTCTCGTCCCATTTTGTAATCCAAACACGTAATCAATACATAAACGTGTAGAAGTGCAACCAAGTCACTAGCCACTACGTTCGTGGAAAAATCGTCTACGGCATTTAGAGTAAACAGCGAGAATACCTGCGAATTTTGTCTTTATTTACTATAGCATCGATTTCATTTCAACACTTTGCTTTTAACTGTATAAATACCATTTACTTGTTGGCGTTGATAATTGTGGTGAAGTCGGGCTTGAGTGAAGCACCACCGACTAGGAAACCATCGATATCTGGGCACTTAGCTAGCTCAGCACAGTTTCCAGGGTTGACTGATCCACCGTATAGGATACGGACGGACGCGGCCACATCAGCGCTCACGTTGTCCTCAAGCCACTTGCGGATGTCTTTGTGCGTGTCCTATAGCAGAAAAAATGCGGGTCAGACCCTGATTAAATTTCTTCAAACACAAAAAAGCACCGTTACATTGGCAGAATGCCCGAATTGTGCCCTCAGACCTAAATAAACTTATCGTTAGCAGTCAAAATATGCACCGGATTATATGGAAACTTGTATTAAAAGAACGCAAATAGAAACTTAATGATACATACCTGTGCTTGCTGAGGGGTGGCGACCTTTCCTGTTCCGATGGCCCACACTGGCTCGTATGCAACGACTACGTTGGTCCAGTCCTTGATCTTTGCGGCCATAGCCTCGAGTTGCTTGGCACATACATCCATAGTGGTACCATTCTCACGCTCCTCGAGGTGCTCTCCGATGCATGGGATGATCTTGAGACCGTTCTCTAAAGCAAATGCACACTTCTCAGCGATCTCCTCGTCGGTTTCGCCGAAGATATCACGACGCTCAGAGTGACCAAGGATGGCCCACTCGATACCACAGTCCTTCGCCATATCAACTGATGTCTCACCTGTGTAAGCTCCAGATTTCTTCTTGTATACGTTCTCGGCAGCGACCTTCCAGTCTGAGCGAAGCTCGTTGGAAAGTAGGTCTAGATAGATGGCGGGGCAGCCGATTACAACCTCTGTGTTCTTATCAGTATCGGCATCCTTCCAGGCACCGACCAACTCCTTGATCTCCTTCTTGGAGCCGTTCATCTTCCAGTTACCACCAACGAAAAAAGTTCTACCCATCCTGAATATATGTACTTCTCTACGACGCTATGTTTGTGTTTAGAAAAACTGAAGCTGAACAATTGGTCACTGCATGTATTTATCAGATTTTTTTTAAAATCGCTTCTTCGCTTTCTTTGTTGTGTCACTCTGTGTTTATGTTTCAAGGCTTTCAGCTTTGGAGAGTTCGATCACCGTTTCCCATAAAAGGTAATTAGCATCTGCGTAGACTCCAATTGTATGCCTGATAATTATGGAATGACCCAGAAATACTGGTCTTCGACAAACTGGAAAACTCTGATAACAAGAAATGATTTTGACATATCTGATTGATATTATAACTTTAAAATGAAATATAAGTGGTCATAAATTTTAAAATAAACAATTATCGGCTTGTTTTTCAAAACTAAATATTAACTGGTTTAAGAATAGCTCATTTATACATATCAACAAAGTAAACTGATTTAGCCAATAATAATTTATTAATTATAATAAAGCTCTTTATATTCGTAGTATTTAAATTGATCAACTTGATAGTCTAACTTATTCGATGAAGTTCACTTCTTGGAACCTTCATTGATCAAAATATTTTTCGGGTATACCGGGGATAATTGATTTGTTATAAGCTCGAATTTTCAACCTGACCCGATTCCTCGATTATTGTCCTTAATTTTGAACGTGCTTGGTGAGTTCATGAGAGTTGATTGCTGGCCGCCTGGTCCTGTGCAAACAAAAATTGGTCGTCACATGTGGGCCCCGGGAGTATCATTAGAACAGAACGCAGATATATAACCATGTCGCTGAAGCTTTAATTAGGTCTTTATATCTAAGTATAATATAACATTAAGGATTTCCCAGAATAAAAATGTCTGGAGAAGGAGATGTCGAGATGCCTGTGGCCGAGACCCAGGCCCCCGTCGTCGTCGAGACTGAGAAGATGGATGTAATGACCGCTCTTCAAACCGTCTTGAAGAACGCTCTTATCCACGATGGGCTTGCCCGTGGCCTTCACGAGTGCGCCAAGGCTCTTGATCGCCGTGAGGTATGTATCGGAATCTGTCCATCCATTTAAAGAAATTATCTGTATTCATGTATAGATCGCATTGATGATTGAGCATGCCGCCCCAGGCAGACGGATCATGGTGATAACGCTCCTTTTCTACAGTCTCTGAGTAATCTTAAAGTATATGAAATTATGCATGTACTTGCATCGTTCAGACATGCATCAGTTTACTAATCGATCACACTTTTATATTATAAACAGGCCCATCTTTGTGTTTTGGCCGAGTCCTGTGACGAGCCCGCCTATAAGACTTTGGTGGAGGCACTTTGCGCTGAACACAAGATCAATCTCATCAAGATTGACGACAACAAGAAGCTCGGAGAGTGGGCTGGTCTCTGCAAGATTGACCGTGAAGGTAATGCTCGCAAGGTCGTTGGTGCCAGTTGCGTAGTTGTCAAAGACTACGGTGTCTCCTCCGAAGCCGTTGATGTGCTTCAGGAGTACTTCAAGAACAACTAGGTTGTCGATCACATACCACTCCGCCTTTTCTCGGAACATATTCAGTTCTGAGTAACTACGATTGTATCGTGAAACGACTATCTGGATTTCAATCGCCACGCATTGGAATGTGTTCATGATTTATCTGTACTCTGCTGGAGCGCTTCGCAACAGTTTTTTTTATATTATTGTAAACAAGCGAGTTTATTTTAAGACAACGATTAGTGATCGAAGACTTGATTAAAGTTGCAACAATTTTGGTATTTCTTGTTACGGTGTTATGTAGTGGTTTTTCGAGTGCTTATATCACTATGCAATAGTGTGTGTAGAGTGCCATTCCCTTCGATGAATGAATACTCAAGAACATATTGCTACACTGACTTTGATCTAGGCAGTTTAGCAAACATACCGTTTTGGTGTGGAGGATGTTAACAATAATCAAGAGCAAGACATTAGTTGTTGATTTTTATCTTGTCGTGGTCGAGAATGTAATGTATTATGGAGAATGTATTGCATTGTCAGTTCGATTCTGGCTTTGAGCGGTATTGTCCATCTGCTATCTCAACTATACTGGCTATGCAATAGTGTGTGTAGAGTATCATCTTCTGTAGTAGATAGATATTCAAGAACATATTGCTAAAGTGATTTTTCTCTTGGGCAGTTTGAGGACATGCCGTTTTGGTATGGAGGAGACTAACAATAATCAAGAGGCGTACATTTAATATTATGCTCAAATGGGTGTTCATGTATGCTTAGTACTGCCAGTTAGGGAATTTTATTGATGCACAGTAAATCTGGAATAAAAGCTCTTCATTGATTGATTTGAGGTTTTCTATAAAAAATTAAGAATTGTAGTTTCCGCTTTGCTTTGCCATCGGTATCTATAGTAGTATGTTTAACACAATCGAGTTGAGGATCCAATTGCGGAGTGGACTTAGAATGAATTCTGTGGCATCTATCCCATTTGTTGTTGCATGCTTCGTTCAAATCTTACCGCGAAAAGAAATTATGGTCTGTTTAGCGTAGACATTCTGACCATATCATGTGCAGTCCCTGCAGTGGCATGGCCGCCTGCGAAGACATAAGGGTCGAAAACAACCGGACTTTCTGTCCTTGTTTTTAAACATTACTGAAACTGCCAAAGGAAGTTGAGGTAACAGACCCGTTTTGATGCCCCAATGGTTTTATGTACGTGTTCACAAAACCTGCCACATACTAGTGTTAATATTAAATGCCCTACCATTGACAATGTATGCTACTGTTATGGCGTGGGGTCCCTCGAGTTAAAAAGATTATAAACGGTGGTTGGCTTCGAAAAATGAAAGTAGCAAGCTTCTACGATTGCATCAAACTGGTATTGATCTCGTTTTCGTGCATCAAACTGTTATTATTCATATTGAGCTTACTTTCGTACACGTATGAAAATGGCAAACCTAGGTAGATATCCACGGAAAGCTAGGCTCCGAACCGAGCTATAGCTATGTACAATAGAAGATGCTTGCCATCACTAATCTAAACTCCAGGCGAGCTCATATGCCATTAAATTTATATGTAAAATATTATCTTCAACATGTCACAGGAATAGTCGCAGAAATACCGATATGCATGCCTATCTTGAGACTTCATCGACAATAAATGCTGATGCAACTGTGTATATAATATACACTTGTTTTCACCTACACACACGTAAACAAGTCAATTTCGAAAATTGGAGAGAATACTTCACCCTACTAATATATATTCTACAAGCAGATTCAGATAAACGAATTTGTAACCGTTGGCTGATTGACAATATGGAAGGACAAGGACATGTGGAGATATAGTTCAAAACCTTAGTCGCTACGCAAGCGATACAGTATTGTGACATAAACAGTTCAGAAGTCGACAATTTATTTAAAAGGTCATCGCACCTCCCGGGTTCGAAGCTCGAAGCTCGACACTCGACATCACGAGAACTATAACTACGCTGATGCCTCCGCCTGGCTAAAGGCACTGGCACAACACATCATGTGGCCGGGGGCAGTGTATGTAAGCCGGTGGGGCACAACTGCACAAAGTCACAACTTTTAACATTTATTTTTTTACAAAAATATGTTATGTATTCTAAAATTGGTCATGAATAAATAGATTTTATACAAAAGCCCATATAGATTTTTTTTTTCAAAAATTATATTTACTTTTATTTCACCACCGGAAAAAAGCATCGAGGTCCGAAATTGAAATATCTCTAGCTAGCTAACTCAGAACGAGAGCGGATGATATGTGTGTGTAACTCATTTGCACTTGCCAGAACAAGATCAGTACACTAGTCTGACATTATGAGTTACGGTATGATGTGGTTTTCCTGTACTTCAACGAAGAGGACTATTGATTGTCTGCTTTAAAGTCCAAAACACACGACAGGCGTTGTTCGAATAGTTTACAGAGACGGAACAAATTTTTCGTGCGAGTTTAGTCAAATATTTGTCCGGCCCTTTGATCGTACACTTTGAATTACGAACAAAGGATATGTACTTCATTACTATGTGAAACGATTATGAACCCGAAATCACTCTTCCAAGGCTATCCAAGCGTTTTACTTTCCCCTTTGAATCGAACTCAAACTATGAATAGAAATTGAATATTCGCGTTGTTTAGGAAAATCCAGCTCCTACATACGGACTTGCTGTATCCGAGCATGAAAATTTGTATACTACATATATATGTATTTTGTATATACTTATGTACATTTGTGTAACAATCTAATAATATATTTGTGTATATATATGTATATATATATATATTTATATATATATATATATATATATATATATT